CAGCTTGAGTCATTAATTCACCAGCAAACATAATAACTAAATTTGTAAAATCTCCAATCTCTGCTTGTTGTTGTTTTGCTGCATTAATAACCATATTAGCAGCAGGGTGTTTGAATTCAAGCTCGGTGATAATTTTAGCTGCATCTGAAGTAACGTATTGTTTTCCTCTATTGTTAACAATTAATTTCTTCATTCCTTGAGGTCCAAATGTTGTTTTTGTTATTTGTGAAAGAGATCTGACTGCTTCTACATTCTTTAGTACTGCCTCTTCAAGTCCACTGAGATGTTTTGTTCCTTCTTTTAATAAATCTGCCATGGTTTCTCTTTCTTTGAAATGAAAATGAAAAGAGAACTTGATCTGTGAAAATCCAAACGCATAAATTTTGATTCTATTCTTTTTTAATTTATTTTACTATATTTATAATTTATTTTTCGTTTTATTTACTTTAAAAAAACTTCATGACACAATTTTGAACATCGCTAGTAACCAATGGAAAAACCAAATAATACTCATTTCAATTGATACACATCGACAAATAAAACACTTTAACAACTTTATTCTATTAAAAATTTATTGTTCTTGTTCAACATAATGGTTGAGAATCTTTAATATGAAATATATGAAAAAGTATTTAACCGTGTTAGCATTTTGAAACTCTTTTTTGGTGTATGGCTATTTGAATTAAAAGGAATCAATTATAGGTTTTTGAAGGTTTTAGTTAATGACATGTTTTTAAGTATGATATTTTGAATAATTACAAACGACTTATTTTTGATAAGTTTTTTGTTATTGGCTATTAGTTTTTGATAGAATAATAATTGAAGAATATTGATTCAGTATATTTTTATCGAGAAGCACTTAAAAGTAGTTTAGTTTTTTTATGATAGCACATTATCTCGATATGTTTTTAGTTCAGTTCTATAGTATTTATATTAAAAGGGAATTATGTTAATTATGAAATGAAGTTAATTTGATTTTATTGGTAAATATTTTTCATATCCTTAGTTTTTTCTATTTCAAAAGTATCACAGATAATACATAAATTATAGTAAGGCATAAATACATATAAATTTATCATTTAATATATTTTTAAGCTTTCAACCTAAGCTTTAATTTAAATAATAAGTTACGTTTTATCAAAAAATTTAATTTTTTGTTCTTTTATTCTCATTAAAAAACATATCTTCTTGTATTTTTTTATTATTTCATTTTACAATATAGTCAATACACGATTTAATAAGGTATTTTGTATTTATTAGTTCAATATTTTTAATTATTATTTGTTAATATTTTAATTCAATAATCATACTGATTTTAAGTGTATCTTGATTCATTAATCACATTAATAGTATTAGGTTATAGTTATTCTTATTATTCTTTTCTTTTCAAAACACGTGCTTGAAGTATTGAATAGACGTTATACTTTACCTGTGAAGGTCTAAGTTAGTTTCTTATCTCTTACTATTTTCATATTTATACTGTTTCATATTTAATTTTCTTAAATAAGTACATAGACTTTATCCAATATTTAATACAAATAAAACAAATATTATATTTTTGGTCATGTGCTTGTAATGTTTTTTTTTTGTCTAATGGAAGTAGTTTTTATTTTGATTTGTATTATTTGACTATATGTTTTTTCTTACTCCATTAATTTGCTCTAGTTGCTTAGAGTTTTCTTTTTACCAATCTCTCATTCTCAAGTATGTCACCATTTCAATACTTATTTTTTATATATTCATTTATACGTTCTTCTTTTAAAATAACATGTTCATTGAAAATAACGATTGAACAAATGTATTATATGATGAATGAGTTATTGAATGAATTATTATTAATATTTCATATAACACTTTGTAATAAATTGAATAGTATTAAAAGATAAAAGAGAATATAAATAAATCATTATAAATGAAAAAAAAATAAATGAATGAATTTTATTTAATGAATTTAATAAATGAATTTGGTTATTTCTAAGTTATCAATTACTAAGTCATTAATAATGATTTATTAAATATAAGCAAGATATTAACAATATTAATAAATGATTTAATGAACATTTAATATAACTTCTTATTTTT